ATTACAAATAACTTCATTTCTGGACATTTATGGTTTGATTTCTTTGTATGTATGGATCACTTGGGTTGTTACCAACATCTGGTGAAAATTTCCTGTCATTAGCACCTCTAGTAATATATTTACTGAGAAAAATGGTGACGTGTTCAATTCTTATTTTACCCGTTGTATATACACTTTATTGCCAAAAGTATTTGCTCACCCATCCAAATGACTGTGCATCAGTGCACAAAGCAAGGTCCATAAAGTCATGGACGGCAGAGTCTGCTGTGGATGAACTTGACTGACCTGCACATAGTCCTGACCTCAACCCGACAGAACACCTTTGGGATGAATTTGAGTGGAGRCTGAGAGCCAGGCCTTYTGTCCAACATCAGTATGTGACCTCACAAATGTGCTTCTGACTGGAAGAATGGTCAAAGATCTACATAAACACACTCCTAAATCTTGTGGACAGCCTTCCCAGAAGAGTTGAAGCTGTTCTAGTTGCAAAGGGTGGACCAATGTCATACTAACCCTATAGATTAGGAATGGGATGTCACTTTAGCTCATATGTGGGTCAAGGCAGGTGAGCGAATACTTTTGCCTATATATATATATATATATATATACATATATATATATAGGCAAAAGTATATATAAACATATGCCATTTTCTCTCCAGTTTTCTAGATGTCTGAACAGAACAACACTTTGTGAAAGTATTTGTGTATAAATGTACTTGTATATTTATTAATACAGCTAGGATTTTGACCAATATTGCTTACTTATCTTGAAAATGCATGTGTTGTGTTTGTTCCTTTTCCTGTTGATGCCACATGATCTGTAGCTTGACTCCGGAGCAGCTCCAACCGGCACAATGGACTCTGTTAGGCAGATGAGGGGGGGACAACAACTTTTCAAAAGACATAAATGCATTATTTTGCCTATAAAAATAACAGTTGCTTTCTCTTGGTAGTATGGCTTTACTTAAAATTATATATTTGTGAAATTCATTTGGGGGAGGTCCAATTTCGGGTTTTCCGATATTGAGTTGGTGGGGGGGGGGGGGGGGGG